TGGACAAGGAGGGCCTACCCTTCGCACCAGAATGCCCATCGGATCGTTTGGGAGTGGAGCGGCTTTTGCAAAGCCATTCGCCAGAGACGTGCCTCAAGCTGGTCCAACGCAGCACGGCGAAATGCAGTTTTGTTGAACGGTTTTGTTGAAAGGCATCCTTTGCAGAGTTCAGCAGCTAGTTCGGTGTGCAACCCATGACCACGAATGAATGATTGGGAAGTCATGAATGTATTCCGTTTCTGATTGGTGGGTCATGATTTGCCACTGTTCATCTCGTGCGGCGTTTTGCCCGCGAAGCTCGCGGGGACGGCCGGCTGGGACGCGAGGTGTTCGGACGCGCACGGCTGTGGCCCTGGCGGCCGAGAACCGCACAAAGCTTCGGAGTTTCTTCTTGGCCTTGCTGGACTTCACCATCAATGTCATGGCTCGTAGCGATGGAGACATTAGCGCAACCGGCATGAGAACAGCCTACGCCTTGCGTGGTCCTTTGTTGGATTTGGCCAATGAATTTCCAGAGGATGCGACCAGCTACTTTCTCGAACTCTTACAGGACTTGGGCCCTGAAACTGCACCAAAAGCGCGGGAGCTTTCGGCTTTGAAGTTGATTCCACTCATATTTCCCACCACTGACTTTCAACATCCTGTCGTTACACCTGCGACTCTGCTTGCCGATCATTGGGCCTTGCAACTGGCTCAGCTTGGAGAGAACATCCAGGAGCTCGTCTCGGAGGGCACCATGTGGCCCGGTTTGAAAGAGATGCCGCAGCACACCGCATGGCTACCAGGTCACAGGTTATACACGCAGCTCACCAGGGTTCTGGCAGGTCGAGCATGTTGCGCATCATATCGCTTTAAAAGCCAGTTATGAGCAGACCTCTTTTTGGCATCCTTTGGGAATTTAGATGCTGGGTCCTTCATATTAGGCAGTTGGCTGAAATGTGGTTTACCCTTCTTGTTTTCATGTTTTGTCTTCTACCACAATCGATTCTCCGCAATCCCTCAGGTTTCGCAGGCATTTTTGCAATGGTTGGTCGACGGGTCAAAGTGTCTACTGCAATGACCCCAGGACATCCCCACACCTTTGCAGGTGAGGACGCTACTAGTAACAAAGGGCATCGCTACTAGAAGCAAGGACGCTACTAGTAGCTCCTGGCCTTACTACTAGTAACAAGAAGCTACTAGTAGCAAAGGGCATCGCTACTCGGGTAGCTGATATTAGGCATTGCAATGCACGCAGTGACGCCCCCCATCTACTGCACCTTGGGATCAAGGGAGGTCAACAGACCATAGAAAGCCTTCCTAAATTCCTAAATATGAAATTGTCCTTGTTGTCTGGGACTGGATGCAGACGTAAACAAGATGTGCAATTTAGGGTTTTGGTCACATTCATCTTATATACTAGTTACATCTAGTGACTAATTAGTATTTCAATTTCCTCAGTTTTGTTTCGACTCTACTTGGCCTTTTCCCATCTCAGGTTATTGGCCGTGCTGTACGAGCTGCTCGGCGGGAAGTTTTGCAGCAGTTTCTTCCAGCTGGGCTGTGCCTTGTTGGAGTCATGTGCGGCCTCAGCCAAGCAGGGACGCCAACAGTGTGCAGATGCAGCTGTAGACCTGGCGATGCTTATGGCCGAAGCTCTGAAAAGGCTCAAAGACCCTGAGCCACTTGGTAAAATTAGATCCACCAAAGCGGCAGATGTGGCGGATACCACATAATACCAGATCAAATACCACAGAATAGCCTCAAAACTTATGGAGACAATGTTACGAGTTGGGGATGGGGCACTGGAAATCCTATAGGAGCCCATTTCATCAATTGTCCTTTCTATGTAGGCTTGGGGAAGAGCGATGGTCTCCATCCTAGTAGCGATGGCCTCCAACAAGAAACACAAACCGCAAGCCCATCAGGCCAGCAGTGGCTGTCATGAGCGCACAGGCCATCCTTCGACCTTGCCTGAATCGACTACCTCGGGCGATCGAGGGCTTCGAGAAAGCCATCGCGGCGATCGAGGCGATCGCTTCCAGCGAACTGAACCCATTGAAAGCGTTGAAGCTTTTCGATGAGGGGGCGGTGCAGATCAAGATGCTGGATCCAATCTTCCACGAGGAAGGCGATCGACCACTGAAGCGGGGGATGGAAGCTTCAGAGACGAAGCTTTTGCAACGGAAGCTTAACCAGGAGCGTCGGGCTGCAGCCCGACAGTTGGCAAGAGATGCGGCTGCAGTGCAGCAGCTGCAACACCAAAAGGATGAAGTCAGACGAAAAGCAGGACAAAAAGAAAGGAAGAGGGTAAGACAGATCATGGAGGTGGAAAAGCAGGAGCTGAAGAAGATGGCCACCGAGTATGACAAATCAATGAACACGACCTTTGGAAGCTTTTCAAAGACCAAAGAGCGGAAGAAGGCCAATCGCCGCATGGCAGGGAATGCAACCGCGGAGAATCCCAATGAGCCTAAGCCAAAGGCTCAGGCGGAAGCTGCAAAAGCTGCACCGTCCTCCAAATCCAAAAAGGATTCCAAAAAAGCCAAGAAAGGGGGCAAGCGAAAGGCCCGCCGCTTGTGAAAGCCCACCATCGCGGAGTGTCTGGGGCGGCCCAAAAGGATGTGCTTGCTGCCTTGATGCGACTGTTGTCTTGGCAATGAAGCGTTACAAGACCAACGATCTCCAGCAAAGAGCAAGTCCAGCAGAGCCAAGTCGAACCCAAAGGAAGCTGCTTTTCGTCATTTTTGTGACATGTTGCATAGTAACAAGAAGCTAGTAGAAACAAGTGCCTTACTAGTAGTAACAGAAGCTACTAGGAAGAAGTGCATCGCTATGCTGGTGGTGTGAGGGCCGTGCTGACAGCGATGGTTGAGGGTAAATGTGTTGGTCCAACCTAATAGAGCGATGGCCTCCAACCTACTTTGTAGATCTTTGTAGTAGTGTGATTTGCGGACATTTGGAGTGACAATCAGGTCATGTGATGCCTGACTTGCAATGCGCCAAAGCCAACCTCACCCGGTCTTGCGAACGTTCCTGGGAACTTTTGATCACATGTTATTGACAAACACCAAGTCCAACATTGATGACGAGACTATACATCTATGAATCTATAATCATATATTTATATACTTAGATGTATAGTCATAACAGTAGTGTTTGCCAAGTCCACTTTTTGCAGCCTCAGTGGCTCAATTCTCCAGCCAACTTCTGGCACGTAGCAGCTCTCTCAGAGAGGAAGGTCCTTCTCGCAGCTGTGCCTTGGGCGTGCCCTTGGCCAGTTCCGAACTTGCACCATATTTTGGTACTACTAGCTTCTTGTTACTACTAGTAAGGCACTTGTTACTAGTAGCGATGCACTATGATGCACTTGTTCCTAATAGCTTCTTGTTACTATATGGTCTTGGCATTGGCCCAATGTTCTTTCCCCTCTTGTTTTGTCAGACCCAGGTTGCATACCTGGATGCTGGTCTTTCAGGCCTGGTTGAGCACAAGAAGATAAGCAGTGCAAAAAGGAAAAGCATCATTAAAGCCGGTAGTTGTTAGCTGGATTTGAGATCGCCCTACTGCGCAATGGCAACGATTTTCAATCCGCGTGTAGTGTAGTTCAAAGCGAGTGTGATGGACACATAAACCCTAATGTTTTATGCGTTTTCCATCAAGTGCATACGACTCAAATTTGCTAGTGTTCATTTGCTCACCCTGAAAACAAGATTCCGAGGTTTGCACAAGACGCAGGTCATTCTGGCTTTAGGGAATTGCGGACGTTGAGTCATGTCCAGTGTGTCCAAACTGGGATGTCTTGTGCTCAAAGCATGCACGCGCACACGTGTGTGCCAAACCCTGTTTCCAAGGGTTCAATTTAATTTAAAGCAGGGGGATGAGGATCCCTTGGTGTGCCTCATCTAACAAAGACCGCACCAAGTGGATGTGATATCAGTGCCCGGCCAGCACTGACGTACCTGCCTTTCAATTGTTTAACTCGACGTTTTTCAACAATACTGTTCGACGGACTCAGCACTTCTTTTTCAGTCAAGGTCTAAATTGCAGTAATCGTAGTTAACTAAAGTGCACTGGTGAACACTGTTAAACAATACTTTTCCGCGGACTCTGCCACCTTTCCGTTCTCTCACCTTCCTTCTCAGCTTGGGAACTGAGTGTAACTGAAAACCAATGTCAGAGTGTGTTTCGCTCAGCCGTCCCACTTGGGTGCTGAGTGTGATCCCCGTCACTGGGGCGCTGTTTCATTGGGAAATCATTAACGGAACTCACTACCGCTCACCGGAATTTCACTGGAATTCACCTCCACTTCCACCGAACTAACTGCCTCAACGGCCGCCGGGCCAAAAAACGGTGAACCACCATAGCCGCCGGGCTATAAAACGGTACCCCCCTTGCAGTCATGCAGTCAGGCAGGTTTCCCAACCCCCCCCCAGCCGAGTTCTACTCCCCACCTAATTAGGGCAACATAGGGAAATGGCACTCGACACACTTGTGTGTCGGTGCCTTTCCCTGTGTTGTTCCTGTTCTAGTCTTTCCTACCCGGGCGGTCTAAGACTAAAGTCCCGCTCCCTAGCTATTGCACTTAATTCATCTCTGCTAAGTAATCAGTAACTCTAGAGTGCTAGGTATTCAGACACACACATGTACACACACATGGACATACAGCCCCTCCCTGCCCCCCCGCTTTCCTTCTTGCGCTTTTCGTCATTTGTTGGGCTTTCTCTCAGGCTTTTGAGGTTGCTCTTGAGGCTCGTTTCCCTACCCCAGTCAAGGGCTAACTATTCACTTTTCTACACCTACCTTTCTTTCTTGCCCTCTTAGCGCTGCTCTTTCTGTCTTTCTTTTCTTTTGTTTCTAAGGCTTTTTAGGTGACTATTCAGGTCTTTCACATGCGCGCCGCGAAGCGGCACCGTGTGTGTGCCAAGCCCTGTTTCCAAGGGTTCAATTTAATTTAAAGCAGGGGGATGAGGATCCCTTGGTGTGCCTCATCTAACAAAGACCGCACCAAGTGGATGTGATATCAGTGCCCGGCCAGCACTGACGTACCTGCCTTTCAATTGTTTAACTCGACGTTTTTCAACAATACTGTTCGACGGACTCAGCACTTCTTTTTCAGTCAAGGTCTAAATTGCAGTAATCGTAGTTAACTAAAGTGCACTGGTGAACAATGTTAAACAATACTTTTCCGCGGACTCTGCCACCTTTCCGTTCTCTCACCTTCCTTCTCAGCTTGGGAACTGAGTGTAACTGAAAACCAATGTCAGAGTGTGGTTGTGCGGCTTCATGAAACATTGACCCTGAACTTTGGCCCAGCACGGTCTAATTAGTGTGTTGTTTTAGCAATAGGAGATGCACAATACGCACAACATGTTGGGATGCTTGTTGTCAAACATGGTGATAAGACAAACTGTTGCTTCACCTCTCGCTACAAGTAGACTGGGTAGGCCCCAACCACTATAGACTCACTGGATTGACCCCCTGGTGTCACTTTCGTTCCCGGAGCGCGAAAGTGTTTGCTCCGCAGTGGCCGTGAAAACCACCCGAAGTGAACCCTCTAGCGGCGAAGGTGTTCGAGCGCCACCGTCAGGGTGGTTGTGGCGCCACCGTGCGACATTTGCAGGCTCAAGTTCAGCCGGTAAGCACACAGGCTGCAATTAGAGAGAGGAGATGTTGCATCATGTGTGTTGTTCTTTTGTGATCCCTATTGAAGATATTGAAGTCACACTGTCGAGTTGCTTACTGGTGGATGATCACTCGCTTGAGTGGACTGCAAGCTGCAACAGCTAATGAATCCCGCAGTAGTTTAATCTAAAAGCGGCTGTTTCATGAGTGCGGGTTTTGACCACATTGATCTGTCACACTTCCAGAAATGAGATTCGCAACCATGGCGATTTTCTTGCTGCTTGCTGCACTTTGTTTGATTGGAAGGCTGCATATCAATGACAATGAAAGAGCCCAAAAGATCGAGGAGAAACATGAATCCAATAGCGATGGCCTCCAACCAGATAGCGATGGCCTCTACCCTAGTAGCGATGTCCTCCAACCTACTAGCGGCACCTTAGCGATGGCGATGGCCTCCAATTGGTTGGGGTTGGGTTTTGGCTTCGACACGATTAACTTTGCCGGTCCATGATGTGGGGATTAACAGTGACATGCAGTGCCTGGTTAGTTGTGTTCTGGCAAGCGCTGGCTACTAGTCATTTGTGTTTGTGTTAGGAGTTTTCTTGGTGCTGAAGTCCTAAGACCCATGGCTCTTCAAAAGCATGCAAAAGTGCTCACAGATGGCGTGTCGTTGTTTTCCAGTTCCCCAGGAGCTGGCTACATCCATTCAAGAATTGAGGGGTGAGATCCAACAGATGGCAACGCAGCAGGTGGAAATCCAGCAGATGGTCGCCCAGACTCAGCAGATAGCGAAAACAGCATCTTCGCCTGAGTCTTCAGCTGTTGAGCCTAACGGTTTGAAAGTCTCTGATGAGCTGAACGAGGCCGAGCCAGCTCCACAAAAGATCGGCTTAAGGAATCCCCACCTGCCATCAGCCTGTGGGGAACGATCCCTTCAAGGGGCCATGCAGTTTGTTTGCAGATCCGCTGAGTCGGAGCCTTGGGTGGAATTTTGGCGTGAAGGTTCCAAGTTGTTGGGAGAAGGCGAACTGATCAGCTTCCTCTCCCGCTGCAAGTCGGAGAGAGGCAAATTAGCCGGTGCACATGTGTGGATTTGGTCTGACACGCGTGACGTGCATGGGTTCAAAGGTGCCATGTCCGAGCAGGTGAAGGATGTGTATGGCCTAGCCAACTTGGCCAGCAAAGCTTGGGGTCCTGAGACATGGGTTCTTGATGTCGGAGGCAATTTAGGTATAACTGCTATCCATCTACACTTGAGAGCTCCGAATGCGAGCTTGCTAACTCTTGAGCCCAGCCCATGGAACTACCTCCTCTTGCGGCTGAACCTCTTACAAAACGTGAGGGCCGACTCAAAGGTCTTTGCCTTGCAGGGTGGCTTGTCGACGGTTTCTGGCGTCTTCCATGGAACTCACATGTTTACCAATGCCTGGGCTTCGCGAAATGATGAAATTTTTCAACCTGGCAAGTCTATCAAAGGAGACTTAAGGGAGCAGGAACTTGGTGAATTCACATCTCCTTTGCGAACTTTGGAGGAGCTTGAACAGATGTATGGGATCAAGCATGTCAAGCTCATGAAGCTTGATTGCGAAGGGTGTGAATGGATGGTTGGTATTCAAATGATGGAGACTGGTGCGTGGAAGATGGTTGATATGCTATTTGGTGAACTCCATGCCCTTTGCCAGAATGAGGTCTCGGATGCAGCCCAGTGCCTACCCCGCAATGTCTCTATACAGCAAGCGGCAGCACTGTGGTACTTTCTCTGTGAGACTCGCAAATTCCACTTGGAGTGGGGTTGTGTTGAGCCTCGGTTCGCTGCTTTGGGCAATGATGTTGCTGCTGCTCTTGCTGGCCGCATTTGTGGCAGCAAGTCTATCATGGTCAAGCCGCTACAGTGTGCCATGGCCAAGAAGCTTTGCAAAGATCAAAGTCGAAGCCCACCTCAGTGCTACCCTCCTAAGAACTAAGTATACATTTAATGTTTTTCTCATATGTCCAGCTGTGGCAGTTTGTGCAGCTCTTGCTGGGTCACCCCGCAAAGTGCGGAGACCTGCAAGTTGACGCGTGCTGGCAATCCCAGCTTTGCTTTGAGACTGCTCTCCAGTGATAAGCCCGTCGCGAGAGTACAGAGCTAAACTGACCGTTGCTCGCAGCTTGAAGAGTAGATACCTTAGCATTTATGACCTGGCATCGATTTCATTGACCAAACTTGACCAGAGCATGGTCATTTGGACATGGTCATCAAGGGCACTGCTTAGCGCAGGTTGCACGGCCATCCAATACCAAGTGGTGGGGCTGAACCTTTCAGTGATGTCACTGTACATGAGTCGTACTTGGACGTTTGGGAACTGGCCCCATTCGTACATGTGGTCAAGGTCTCATTCAATTCTTGTTTGGCCCCATTGTGGATTACATGTCCCCATCACTACATCATACTCCCGCTCTTGAGGTTTTGATGGATGTTTTTTTGCTCCCCATTGATTTCACATCGAGCGATTGGGTCTCGAACATGTGGCTTCTGTAAGTGGGGACCATGCACTGGCGAACTCAATGCTTGAGCCCTTCGGTGTCCGATCGCTAATGGTTACTTAAGCTTAGTGGCTACTCCTTACTGTCGGCATACCCAACCCGGCCTTTCTTCGGAGCACTTCAGCATGGCAACTTCGAAGGACTTTCATGATATGCTTGTGTTCATCCTCACAAGCTAACTCCGGCATACTCCTGCCAATGGGTTTACTTAGCATGTTCAGTATGCTCGGTTGTCCTTTGTTTCCTCCAAGAATCCTGCCTCCAATTCAAAACCGGTGGAGAATATGTGCAGGTCAGGCAGACCTGTTCGTCTTCAAAGCTGAGAGAACTCTTTTGGCCATGAAACTCGCAAAGACGACCTTCCAATCTTCAGAGATTTTCCTGCGAATAGGTCTCTTGCGTTTCTTGCCAGTGCTACCTACAATGCCAGCTCGGCACGGTTATCACCGGCATCAAGCTGGGACAGGCGCAGAGCAAAAATACTCCGGACTTGGCAGCCTTGCTATGGTGAACATCACATAAGTTCCGAGCTACACCCTTACACCATCGCTAGTCCGCGTAGGTTGCATGCAGGACATGGCTAGTAGTTCTGAGCTACACCCGTCCGCAGAGCTTGGTGCAGGAGTATCACCGGTCCGCCGGTGGCCTTTCATGAAGACCAGCAACGGCCTCATATCTTTGGAGAGATGGTGTCCAAGATGGAGACATGGAAGGTGGAGGAAAAGAGCCAAAGCAAGCACTTGGACACTTGGAATTGTGGCTGCATGGAATCAGCCAGTGGCCGCCTGTGTTGTTGGACAGCTGAGCTGTTGAAGAATCAGGCAGTTTTGACCGAAGAAACAGCAGCCATTGGGCTCAAAGTTCGGTCGATACCGTGTCAGGCCACATTTAGCTAAAAGCCAGCGGTGAGAGATTGGTTTCAGTTTTTCATTCCATCTCACTGCCCTTGGGCCCTTGGATCAACCTCCCTTTCTATTTCCAAACAGTGCAAGACGATTGTTCAACATCAGCTCATTCATGTGCAAGACGATTGTTCAACATCAGCTCAGAAAAAGAGTTGTTTCTTTTGTTGGTCCCGTTTTGGATGTTTGGAATTGTTTCAAGGTTCGCAAGCCCTGTTTCCGTCCTTGCAGCTGCTTATCTTGTGAGCCATGCTGCCCCGCAATGCCAAAGTCAGTCGCTTTGCCTTGGCGCTGGCAGCCACCACAACGGCTGGTTCAGAGTTGAGCTGTCATACTGCCACGCTGTTAGTAGGCTGTCGTGAATAGTGCTCGTACGTCATTCCTTCGCAGGCCTTCTCCTCTTTGCGCACTTCACTGTCACGATCAGCAGTGCCTGAGGACTTTGAACAGACACCTGAGTACAAGGCATTTGCAAGGTGCGCAGTGGAAAGAAAGACAGAAAGATGGGAAGAGAATGGAACAAAGTCCAGCAACTTGTATGAATGGCTTTGGGAGGCAACACATGGTTGATGAAGAGGAGCTTTTGCGTCAAAGCTCCTTTCCGATCCCGCCCAAGGAGCAGAAAGATAATTTTTGGTGGGTTGGTGATGCAGACGATGCAAGGTGAGTTTGTCAGTGCATCATTTGCATCAGCAACCTGCCCAAGGACACTTTAGTTCAGTGTATTGAATGAAAGCTGGATGCACTCGACCAGAACCTTGAAGAAGGGCCAAACCAGGTTCATGAAAGGAAGGAATGCACGAATGAACCAATGAAACGCAAGCTTCCAAAGCATTCATTTCCCACCTTCCAGTCTGAATGTGCGAGAGTCTCAAATCACGTGGCCGCTCTTCTGGGCACATCACCCACCGGACCATGTCCTGCTCCTAGTAGTAGGGCCAGGAGCCCCTAGTAGCGATGCCCTTTGC